TATCTTTTGTTGTTTTCAGCTTATGTATAGTAAAGTTTGGGTTAATCAAGTTGTGTCTGTTGAACTACACACTTTCTTCTCATTTAAATATGTCTTAACTGTCCAACGATCGAGGCTGCTGGGTAAGGGAGTTCGTACCTTTGCAGTAGCTGTTCCAAAGCTCTGGAATAGCCTTCCACTCAAATGCTCCCCCTCCATTGACACTTGTAAGACAAATCTTAAAACGTACATGTTTTCAGTGGCCTTTGGTTGTTTGTAGTGGTTTTAATATATTACCATTTTATAATCTTTTACGTGTGAATTGTTCTTACTGGTTATTCTGTTTTACACTGAACAAAAATATAAACGCAACACTTTTGTTTTTGCTCCTATTTTTCGTGAGCTGGACTCAAAGATCTAAAACTTTTTCTACATACACAAAAGACCATTTCCCTCGAATATTGTTCACGAATCTGTCTAAATCTGTGTTAGTGAGCACTTCTCCTTTGCCGAGATAATCCATCCCACCTCACAGGTGTGGCATATCAAGATGCTGATTAGACAGCATGATTATTGCACAGGTGTGCCTTAGGCTGGCCACAATAAAAGGCCACTCTGAAATGTTCAGTTTTATCACACAGCACAATGCCACAGATGTCGCAAGTTTTGAGGGAGCGTGCAATTGGCATGCTGACTGCAGGAATGTCCACCAGAGCTGTTGCCCGTGAATTGAATGTTCATTTCTCTACCATAAGCCGTCTCCAAAGGCGTTTCAGACAATTTGGCAGTACATCCAACCGGCCTCACAACCGCAGACCACGTGTAACCACACCAGCCCAGGACCTCCACATCCAGCATGTTCACCTCCAAGATCGTCTGAGACCAGCCACCCGGACAGCTGCTGCAACAATCGGTTTGCATAACCAAAGAATTTCTGCACAAACTGTCAGAAACCGTCTCAGGGAAGCTCATCTGCATGCTCGTCGTCCTCATCGGGGTCTCGACCTGACTGCAGTTCGTCGTCGTAACCGACTTGAGTGGGCAAATGCTCACATTCGATGGCGTCTGGCACGTTGGAGAGGTGTTCTCTTCACGGATGAATCCCGGTTTTCACTGTTCAGGGCAGATGGCAGACAGCGTGTGTGGCGTCGTGTGGGTGAGCGGTTTGCTGATGTCAACGTTGTGGATCGAGTGGCCCATGGTGGCGGTGGGGTTATGGTATGGGCAGGCGTATGTTATGGACAACGAACACAGGTGCATTTTATTGATGGCATTTTGAATGCACAGAGATACCGTGACGAGATCCTGAGGCCCATTGTTGTGCCATTCATCCACGACCATCACCTCATGTTGCAGCATGATAATGCACGGCCCCATGTTGCAAGGATCTGTACACAATTCCTGGAAGCTGAAAACATCCCAGTTCTTGCATGGCCAGCATACTCACCGGACATGTCACCCATTGAGCATGTTTGGGATGCTCTGGATCGGCGTATACGACAGCGTGTTCCAGTTCCTGCCAATATCCAGCAACTTCGCACAGCCATTGAAGAGGAGTGGACCAACATTCCACAGGCCACAATCAACAACCTGATCAACTCTATGCGAAGGAGATGTATTGCACTGCGTGAGGCAAATGGTGGTCACACCAGATACTGACTGGTTTTCTGAGACCCCCCCAGACCCCCCCCAATAAAGCAAAACTGCACATTTCAGAGTGGCCTTTTATTGTGGCCAGCCTAAGGCACACCTGTGCAATAATCATGTGGTCTAATCAGTATCTTGATATGCCACACCTGTGAGGTGGGATGGATTATCTCGGCAAAGGAGAAGTGCTTACTAACACAGATTTAGACAGATTCGTGAACAATATTTGAGGGAAATGGTCTTTTGTGTGTATAGAAAATGTTTTAGATCTTTGAGTCCAGCTCATGAAAAATGGGAGCAAAAACAAAAGTGTTGCGTTTATATTTTTGTTCAGTGTATATTTGAGTACATGTTATATTGTTATATATTAGTGTGCGTTTCTTTTAACTTGTACAGCACTTTGGTCAACTGCAGTTGTTTTTAAATGTGCTATATAAACAAACTAGATTTGATTTTTTTTCTCTTTAGGTGTTAAAACAATTTATTGAATTTTATGATTTACTATTTGTTAAAAGGAACTTCCCTCTAAGGTTTAAAAAAAACCAACCAGCATTGAGCAACGGAAGAGATATTTCCCTCAGTAGTTGGTGGAGGCCCAAAAAGAGCTAAAAGGAGAGCAATAAATGGCTTTTGATTCACCAGGGCCCAGTATTTCAAAGTTATCTGATAGGATTATCCTGGCCGGATTGGATTAAATCCTGATCTGATCTGAAAACTGGGTATTTCAACACAGATCAAGAGGATCCTGAGGATCGGGATTCAGCTCTGGTAATCCAATCCTCCCTTTAATCCAGATAAAGGCTGCATTCGGGTATTTCAAAAGTTAAGGCAGAGATCTGGATCAATTTGATATCAAATTTCAGGTTTATTTGGATCCCACCTCAGAGGTGGATTTGACAAAGTCTCAGCTCCACTTCTCTTAGATATTGATACTCAAGATGTTCATTACACTTCATCTAAATTAGTGTTTTAGTTGTAAGTAATTTCAAGCATAGAAAAATATTGTTTGGCCATACTTCCTGAAACTGCTGTAAATAAGAGTAACAAATACAGACCTGTTTCTCAACGTCTAGTTTCACCTGACATTGTAACCTGTTTGTACCAAAACATCCAACATATGTTTGTGGTCAGACAAAGGCAAGGAAATGTAATGTAAAGCAAATTTATTTGTATAGCACATTTTCTTTACATAGAGGGCAAGAAACAACACAGGGATTAACATAAGCATATGGCAATTCAAACAAAGTACTAAAAAAGCAATTAGAAACAAAATGTAAATCAAAATAGTGCCACAGAACCTAAAGACTGCTCACAGGTCTGAGCTGAGCTTCTTTTCCAGAAGTTTAATCTTTAATTCTGTCTCTTTCTGCTGAAGCAGCGTCAGTTTGAGCTGCTCGTCAGCCAGTTGAATCTGTCTCACTGTCCTCTCAGTCTCCATTCTCAGGAGCTTTTCATAGGCATCCTCCGTCCCAGCATGCCTCTTCCTCCTCCTTCTCTCTGGCTCTGGCCCACGCACCTCCTGTGGTGCATGGGGTGGGGCAGGGCTGGTGCCTGCAGATGGCTCAACCTCTGAGGGATCAGCCTCCACAGGTGTGAGGAGCACGTAATCTGATGAGAGACTGAGTGGCTCGTCAACTGGCTCCCCAACACATGCAGGCACAATCCCATGCAGGGCCTGGGAACTCTCCCCTCCAAGGATGTCGAGCGTCACTGAATTCACCGCCTTTAATAATAATAATAATAATAATAATAATAATAATAATAATAATAATAATAATAATAATAATAATAATAATAATAATAATAATAATAATAATAATAATAATAATAATAATAATAATAATAATAATAATAATAATAATAATAATAATAATAATAATAATAATAATAATAATAATAATAATAATAATAATAATAATAATAATAATAATAATAATAATAATAATAATAATAATAATAATAATAATAATAATAATAATAATAATAATAATAATAATAATAATAATAATAATAATAATAATAATAATAATAATAATAATAATAATAATAATAATAATAATAATAATAATAATAATAATAATAATAATAATAATAATAATAATAATAATAATAATAATAATAATAATAATAATAATAATAATAATAATAATAATAATAATAATAATAATAATAATAATAATAAACAAAACATTTGCACCTCACATAAGACATGCAGCCCCAAGTGCCTCACAAAAGTTACATGAAATGGGTACTATATAAAACATTTAAGATGGCAAACTCCACTGTAAAAAAAGTACAAAAACTGACAAATAAATAAGGCAAACGGCTGCACAGCCTTATTGAGTTCACTCAACTTCAGGGCCCTTAGTTGTGTGTGCACTAACAAGTCCTGATGTTCAGTAAACTCAATAAGGCTGTGCAGCTGGATGCCTTATTTGTTTGTCAGCTTCGGGTTTTTTTACAGCTTAAATTGGTGACAATTTAATACTTAATACATACTCAATATTTCACTTTGTAGACATAATCTAAAAAATAGGCACTTAAGTCTCACCTTTGTAGGGCTTGTTCCCAGTTTGGGGATTGTTCGCCTCTGAGTGGTCCTTGGTGGCCTTCTGTTTCAGGTTCTTCCACCGCAGTTTCACCTGCTCAACAGACCGGAACTGACCACTGCCAGTAGCATTAACCTGTGCTGTAATGTCGGCCCAAATCTCGCTCTTTATTCTTGCTGAAACATTGCTCTGGCCTGGGGTACTGAAAGTGCCAAACAAACATTCATAGTTTGTGCGAACCCCATCCAATAATGCATGTGTTTCAGCAGTTGTAAAGTTCAACCCCTTACTCCTTTGGCCCTCCATGTTGTCTGGAGGTAGGTGCACAGGTAACCCTTTTATACCAATCCAGCAAAATTACATTCAGGTGTGACAGTAGCACAAGTTAATTGGGAGGTGCTTCAATAGGGTTCTCTGAGCAAGAATGGTTCTCTAACAACCAGAAGATGGCAGAAATGCAACACTATGGATGCCAACTGCCGTAAAACACAGAAGACAAAGAAGACGAAGAAGACGAAGACGAAGACGAAGACGAAGAAGAAGAAGAAGAAGAAGAAGAAGATCATTTTGCATGAGAAGAAGGAGGAGGACTTGGTGGTACAATGGCTGCAGTTGTACACCGATACAGACAACAAAAGGAGAAGGTACAATCCAAGGCAATATGCTCAACGCCCCAACCTGCTCGAGCAATACTCCAATGATGAGCTTTATGCACGATACAGATTTGGGCAAGAGGATATTGCTCTCATCTGCAATATTCTTCGTCCTCATCTTGAACGTGCCACTCTGAGGAGCCATGCCTTGACTGTGGAGGAGCAGGTACTGATGGCTCTGCATTATTATGCATGTGGTTCCTTCTTTGAGGTGATTGGGGATGGACTGGGGGTGACAAAAGCAACAGTGGGCCATGTGGTTCATTCGGTGTCATCTGCCCTTACCGGTCTTCTGGGTCAATATGTGAAATGGCCTGAAAATGAAGAGGAGATAGCAAGAACCAAGAGGAAGTTTCTCTCATTGGGGGGGATGCCAAACACTATTGGTGTGATTGACTGCACCCATGTGCATATTCAGGCACCACATACCAGGGAATGGGAGTATGTGAACAGGAAGGGCCGGCACAGCATTAACGTCCAGCTTGTGGGGAATGCTGACCTCGTTATCACAAACTGTGTTGTGAGATGGCCTGGGTCTGTACATGATGCCCGTATTTTGAGGGAGAGCCACCTCTACCAGAAGCTCCAACAGACTGCCCCAGATGGCATCCTCTTGGGTGACAGCGGTTACCCCCTTCTACCCTGGCTGTTGACCCCTTTTGCTACCGTCACCAATGACTCCCAGCAGAGGTACAACAACATCCATGCCACAACAAGAGGGACAATTGAGCGCCTGGATGGCGTGATAAAACGCAGATTTGCCTGCCTGAACTATCTCCATGTGGAGCCACAGAAAGCCTGTCACATCATATGTGCCTGCATTGTCCTACATAACCTAGTACAAACAAGGAGAGTGCCACTACAGGAACCTCTCATCGATGGACCTCCTCCCTGCGCAGAAGGCCTTGACCTGCCACCACCACCACTGCAGCCTGATGGTCCTGCTGGAAGANCTACAGGAACCTCTCATCGATGGACCTCCTCCCTGCGCAGAAGGCCTTGACCTGCCACCACCACCACTGCAGCCTGATGGTCCTGCTGGAAGAGCCGTGCGGAATGCCATGGTTAATCTTTAATTTTCCAATTAAATGGTTGAACTCTGATCTGTGTGCACTTGCATTTTTCCAATGTTACATCATATGTTTGAGGGGGGCAAAGTGATAGCTCAAATATGTCCTGCAAGACATTGCTGTATGTCTCAATTTAAAATCACATTTAAGCACTTTCAATGTATATTTTCATGCTTCTGATTTAATGAAGACACATTTTACTTAATTTAGATAAACTTGAAAATGCACCTTTAAAATGCCTGGGAAGTGCTTGACTGTGATTTTATAACATGCAGCAATGTATTTCAGGAAGTGTTTGTGTGTACAAACTGATTATTTTACTTCATCAAATCAGATGCTATAGTGCTATGTTTAGTGGGAGCCTTCTACAAAAGGGGATACATGTCCAGGGTTTTCCAGCACTCGACCTGTTGTCTTCATTAGCAGTGGCATTGCTGAGTGGTCCATGGGTGTGAGTGTATTCTGAAAGTAGAAGTAGAGTGTGTATGAGCATATCTTTATCATTGTCAGGAATCCACAATAGTCAGAGAAATTGTTTAAGTAACGTTACAGAAAAGCATATCACCAGCATTACTGTAGCATACCCAAACTCAATCCTCTGACACTTCTGAATGAACCGCATCATTCATACTAGTACTGTGTATTTTTCCTATACTGAAGCAGTCTGCTCTGCACACAAAAATAAAAAGGTCTGCTGTGTTGGCAATAACATAACGTTAAACTCGGAACAGGTTGGTGTTTAAAGAGTTGATATATGA